ATATTTTAAAGATTTCATTTTATTTAAAAATTATTTTTATTTATTTTTCAAAAAATTTTTAACGTTTCTTTATTATTGAGAGACAGAGACAGAGCATGAGCATGGGAGGGGCAGAGAGAGGAGGAGACACAGACTTTGAAGCATGCTCCAGGCTCTGAGCACAGAGCCCGACACGGGGCTTGAACTCACAAACGGGGAGATCATGACCTGAGCCAAAGTCGGACGCTCAACAAACTGAGCCACCCAGGCGCCCCTTTTATTTTTATTTTTCTTATTTAAAAAAAATGTTTATTTTGAGAGAGAGAGTGCACCCGTGGGCACACACATGTGTGCACACATAGTGTGTACAAGCAGGGGAGGGGCAGAGAGGGAGAGAGATGATCCCAAGCTGGCTTCACTCTGTCAGCGCAGAGTTCAACACAAGGCTCTATCCAACAAACTGTGAGATCTGACCTGAGCTGAAATCAAGAGTCAGACACCTAACCGACTGAGTCACCCAGGTGTCCCTATTTATTTTTAGAGCGTGAGCTGGGGAGAGAGGCAGAGGGAAAACAAGAGAATATGAAGCAGGCTCCATCCTCAGCACGGAGCCTGATGCGGGGTTCAATCTCAGGACAGTGAGATCATGACCTGAGCTGAAGTCAAGAGTCAGATGCTTAATCGACTGAGCTAGCCAAGTGCCCCAAGATTTTATTTTTAAGTAATTTCCACACCCAACGTAGGTCTCAAACTTAACAGCTCTGAGATCAAAAGTTGCATGCTCTTCCCATTGAGCCAGCCAGGTGTCCCAGATTTCCTTAGTTTTTACCTAATTTTTTTTTTTTCTGTTCCAAGATCCCATCCTGGGTACCCTATTACTTTTAGTTCTCATGTCTCCTTAAGCTCCCATTAGCTGTGATAGTTTCTCAGATTTTCATTGTTTTTGATGAGGAATTTTGAGGAGTGCTAATCAAGTATTTTATAGGATGCCTCTCTATTGGAATTTATCTGATGTTTTTCTCATGATTAGATTGGGGTTATGTGTTTTTTGGGGACAATCACAGAGGAAAAATGACATTTTCATCATATCAAGGGTACAATATCATAATGTTTTACTGTTGATATTGACCATGATTGTGGTCACCTGGCTGAAGTCGTATTTGTAAGCTTTCTCCAGTATAAAGTTATCCTTTTTTCCTTCTCTTTTCCATACTATAGTCTTTAGAAGAAAGTGTCTATTCACAGCCTATACTTACGTTTCCTTCCTTAAGGATGGAGTATTTACATATGTTATTTGGAATATTTCTGCAGATTTGTCTCTTCTCCATTTATTCAATCATTTACTTATATCAATATGGACTTTGGGTTATAATCTAATACTATTTATTTTATTGCTCTAAATGTTCCAGCTTTGGACATTGGGAGCTCTTTTAGTTGGCTCTGTGTCCCTTTGACATACCCCCACCAGTGTAGGTTTTTGTTTTTGTTTTTGTTTTTAGCTCTTCTTTACTTTCTTGTGTCTAGAATATGCTCCAGGCTCATCTTTTATCTTTCCTATCCCAGTCCTAGAATCAGACATTTCTCCAAGGAGCCCTTGTTCCTGTTACTGAAGAATAGTCTCAAGAAACCAAGATGCGAGCACTAGATATTGTTATATTTGTGGTATCATCTTTTATTCCTCTCTTGTTCCCCATCCTCCACCACATACCAATTGTCAAAATATCATTCTATTCCTACTGCTATTATCCTTATCTCATCTTCAGTACTTGTTAGGTATATGGCCTTGGGGAATTTTTTTTTTTTTATGTTTATTATTTTTGAGAGAGAGGGAGACACAGAATCCGAAGTGGGCTTCAGGCTCTGAGCTGTCAGTACAGAGCCTGAT